TATATATAGCACCGCCTCAGAACTCAGATGGCGAAATGGAAATTCCTAAAGGTGATTCACAATTTGCATCTCATTTGAAAGCATCTGAGGCTGTCAGTTCTTTTGCTAGATCAAAAACTCTTCGCGAGCAACGAGAGTTTTTGCCAGCTTTTGCAGTCCGCGAAGAACTGTTGAGAATAATTAGAGATAACCAAGGTACCCTTCAGTTCTTCTCCGTTAATAAGTCTTATTTCCTTTGAATTCCTGAAGTGACTTATGTGTTATTTTGCTGGTTATAGTTGTTGTTGTGGTTGGAGAAACTGGTTCTGGTAAAACAACACAATTGACACAGTACCTTTACGAAGATGGATATAGCAATTATGGCACTATAGGTTGTACGCAACCTCGTCGTGTTGCTGCCATGTCTGTTGCGAAACGTGTTAGTGAAGAAATGGAGGTGAGTTTTAATATAAAGAAGGGTTTTCTTTTTTCTTTTTTAATAACATCAAATGACATTTACATTTAGTGTAAACTGGGAACGACTGTGGGATATGCTATTCGTTTTGAAGATTGTACTTCTGAAAGTACAGTAATAAAGTGTGAGTGATTTATGCTTTACGATTATATTTTAATTATTAGCTGTGATGTTGTTAATTTCTTTGTATTTTAAATTTAGACATGACAGATGGTGTGTTACTTCGTGAGTCACTTAAAGAACCTGATCTTGATCATTATAGTTCTATTATAATGGATGAAGCTCATGAACGATCATTGCAAACGGATGTTATAATGGGATTATTAAAACAAGGTATGTCTTTTTGGAAGTTCGATCAACTTCATATATAAAATATTTGAAATTTATAATTATCTATTATAATCTTTCTATTTAGTACTTGCTCGTCGACGAGACTTAAAGTTAATTGTTACATCTGCAACTATGAATGCTGAAAAGGTATTTTATAATATAATTATTAATTATGAATTTATTGCCAATATAACTAATAAGACAAACCGTTTCATATAGTTTTCATCGTTTTTTGGAAATTGTCCCACTTTCAAAATTCCTGGTCGTACTTTCCCCGTAGAAATAATGTTCAGCAAAACACCATGTGATGATTATGTAGACAGTGCCGTAAAACAAGTACTTGCAATTCATCTCGGTCACCCGCCAGGTGATATATTAGTGTTCATGACTGGACAAGAAGATATTGAAATAACTTGTAAAGTAATTACAGGTGCGCACAGAGTGTATTTTTATTTCATCTGAACTATTAGTTGCAAAACATTTTATATATAATATCGTCTTATATAATAGAACGTCTACAACAACTGGACAATCCGCCAGAGTTGGCAGTTCTCCCTATCTATTCTCAACTACCTGCCGATCTGCAAGCTAAAATATTTGAGAAAGCACCTGATAATGCAAGAAAAGTTATCGTTGCAACAAATATTGCAGAGACTTCACTAACTGGTAAAGATTATGATCTTTATATATTATAAACATAATCCAATAATCATATTCTTACTGATATCTTTCTATTTAGTTGACGGTATTATGTATGTCGTCGATACCGGATTTAACAAACTTAAAGTATTCAATCCAAAAATTGGTATGGATTCTTTACAAATCACACCAATAAGTCAAGCAAACGCAAACCAGAGATCAGGTCGTGCTGGAAGAACTGGAGCTGGGACATGCTATCGTCTATATACCGAACATGCCTATCAGCATGAAATGTTTATGAATACTATACCTGAGATTCAAAGGACAAATCTGGCCAATGTCGTACTTTTACTCAAGTCATTGGGTGTTAAAAATTTATTAGATTTTGACTTTATGGATCCACCACCTCAGGTACATTCCTATTTTCAATAATTTAATTAATATGCATGAGATTAATTTTGAATTGGATATTTTCAGGATAACATACTAAATTCAATGTATCAATTATGGATACTTGGAGCATTGGATAACACTGGAGAATTGACACCGCTTGGCCGTAGGATGGTTGAATTTCCACTGGATCCTTCATTATCAAAGATGCTTATTGTATCTGAAGAACTAGGATGTACCGCTGAAATTTTGGTATATTTTTAATATGATTGTAATTTTTTATATATTATCATTATTGTTTGAATAATTTAATTTACATCATTTTCGATTTCAGACAATCGTATCCATGCTTTCCGTACCTTCAGTATTTTATCGACCAAAAGAGCGGATGGAAGAAAGTGATGCAGCAAGAGAAAAATTCTTCGTACCAGAAAGTGATCATTTGACACTTTTACACGTCTACACTCAATGGAAGTCACATGGGTAAGTTCTATTATCCGATTTTGGGTCAAAATCCCGAACAGCAGATTATCGAAAGAACATAACATTGACTAAATTGACCAGCATTATAGCTAATGCTGGCTAACTTTGTCGGTATTATGTTCTTTCGGAAATCCGTTTTTCGGAATTTTGACCCAAATTCCTATTATCCTTACACGAATTTAAAAGTTTATATATTTGTATATTCATAATAACTTAATTTTCATTTTAGTTTTCGTGACGATTGGTGTATAAAACATTATATTCATTCAAAGGCAATGAGAAAAGCTCAGGAAGTCCGGTTGCAATTGCTGGATATTATGAAGGCTGAAAAGATGGAAATTGTGTCTTGTGGGACAGATTGGGACGTAGTACGAAAATGTATTTGTTCTGCATATTTTCACCAAGCCGCAAGAGTTAAAGGAATTGGTGAATATGTAAATTGCCGTACTGGCATGCCTTGTCATCTTCATCCTACGAGCGCACTATATGGACTTGGCTATACACCTGACTATATTGTTTATCATGAATTGGTGATGACATCAAAGGAATACATGCAATGTGTAACAGCAGTGGATCCATATTGGCTTGCTGAAATGGGGTGCGTTTACTAGAAATTTTCTATTATCTTCACTCTAGCTCAACATGTTTGTTAATGTTTTGTTTTTTTTTTTTATTACTTTCTTTAAAATAGTCCCATGTTCTATTCGATCAAAGAAAAGAATTTCACACAAAAGGTATGTCCAATTCGTATTTATATTGATCCTTTAAAAATTAATAAATGTATTAATAAGGTCTTTCAATGATCTGCAGGAAAAACGAGCGGCTAATAAAGCCGAGATGGCAAGAATGACAATGGAAATGCAAATGAAAACGGCTCGAGAGAAAGAAGAGGAAGAAGCCAAAGAATTGCAACGTAAAGCAACGGCAACTCCAAAAAGCTCAAAAATTGTAATACCAGGTCGAAGAGAGCCCGGTGCACCTCTTAGAAAAAGAGGATTTGGTATTTAATAAAAATATTTTTAAATTGTAATGGTTTGATATCGTGATAATCCCAGAACTATAGTTTTGGTTTGAATTTGTTTTATTTTCGAATGTAAATCGGGCTCTCATCAAAAAAAAGGGAACATTGGTTTAGTGTGGCTAATTTACTAAAATCAATTACAAAGGTTAAAGATAATTTTTAACATGGCAAGCTACTGTGGCTAAGTATTCATAATGTGACTGAATAATCTCGATACAATTTTGATGCTGTTTAATTTTTAAATTTTTAATGTGTATTTAGACAATTGATTTTGAGTCTTTTAAAAATTTTGTAATATTTTAAAATTTTTAATATATATAAAAAAAAAAAGATTTTGCACTCAGTTAAGATGAAATTCACAGGCATGCTACTCAAAAGAACTATTTTTGCAATTAGCAGGGATTAAAAATCCATTGGTCTTGATTTCAAAGTCAAATTTTACGTCATATAATATTTGATTTATGATTTATATAATAAAAAGCAGGGGTACCGAAAATTTAATTGCAATTAAATTTTTATACAATTACGATCAAGTAAAATTGTTATAAAAACAATTATATTTAAATTAATTGCAATTAATTGTAATTTTGCTATGTACGATACGTATAAAGTTTTAGACTTTAAAATATTGAATTTTGAAAAAACAAAAA